GGGGCGCACAGCCCTGAACATGGAAAATTTCAGCAGGAAACACTCGTTCCTCCGCCTGCCTGCCGTCCCTGGAAGATAAACCTGCGGCCGTCAGAACAAACTGCTCTTTCTGCTGGGGGCCGGCCGCGGGCCCTGCTGGGCTGGCGCTCAGGAAGCCTGCGGTCAGGGCGGCCTCGGCCTGTTTCCCCGGAACAATGGCTCCTCTTGCTCTCGCAGCCGCACCTGCCGGGCTCAGGGCTCAGGAGTCCAGGCCGGCCGGGCCCCGCGTGGACAGGGGGTCCGGCCAGGGCGCCCGGGGCGACGGGGGCGGGGGCGGCGGGGGCGCCTGTGGGCAGCCCAGATAGCAGCAGCCCAGAGGATGGGCACCGGCCGGAGCTGGCCCTGCGGCTGTCAGAGGGAGGTGACCGCGGGCGGGCGGGGCGGTGAGGAAGTTATTTAAGAGCGGCCGGCTGGCCCTGAGTCCCTTGAAGAAGTGCCCGGAGCCACTGCCCAGTGAGCCAGGGGACTCTGACCGCCAGGTGAGCCGCCCTCAGTCCGGTCGGGTACAGGCTGGGGTGGCCGGTGCTGCCACGGGGATGCCCGTGCTCCCCTGCGGTGCTCCGCCCCCCCTTGCCTGGCCAGGCCTGAGGCCACTCTGCACCCCAAGGCGCCTGAGGCTCCCAGCCCTCGCTTTTGGGGCTCACTCTCCCAAAGGAGTCCCGCTCTTCACCCCAGGCCCTCACCCCACCCGCGTGCTCCCACGAGGCCGGCCTCCCCCCTGGCTCGGACCCTCCTCTTCCGTCCCTCCATCACCCCGGGCTCCCCAAAGCCTGCCCTGTTCCTGACAGCCTGTCCTGTCACCCGTGCCCCCCAAAGCCCGGCTCCTTCCAGAGACGGGGCGGCTCCCTTTGCTCGGCCTCTTTCTGGAACGGTCTAGTCCACTGCCCCGTCAGGGGGTACCCGTTGCCTCGAAAACAGCCAAAACACAGCCCCGGCCCGGAGCGGAGTGTCCGGTGTGTGGCCTCCTCCGGCAGGGCCGTGGCTGGATGCACGAGGCGGGTGCCTGGCCCGGCTAGGTGCCCGTGGGCAGGGGCGGCCAGCGTCCACCTCGACGGGCCGTGGGTGTCCTCGGCCCCACCCCCCCCGGCTGGCTGCCGGGGCCCCGCGGGCGCCCAGCTCCCGGGTGTGGACTCCGTCTCGAGGTCCCAATCGTCTTCCTCCCAGACCCACGAGCAAGCATGTCGGAGCGGCCGGCGACCAGCTTTGTGGGCAGGAGGGCCGTGCCCCAGAACACCTCCAACGAGGCCGAGGACGCCCGCCCCACGGTGGAACTGCAGGGCCTGACGCCCCGGGGCTTCAACCCGCAAGGTACAGGCGTCCGGGCGCCCCCGGGGAAGCCCTGCCCGCCGCGGGCTCGGGGCAAAGGCCCCAAACCCCTCAGCGCAATGCCCCAGCCTGGTCGGGCCCTGGGGCCGCTCCCCAGCCAGAGAGGCTCGCGGCGGCCGGGTGGACGCAGAGGTCATGACTGCAGCCACGTGTGGGCGGCCACGCCCTGGGGCCCGGGCAGCAGCCACAGGACGGCCAGGTGCGGGGGCCGGTGACAGACGCCGTCCCGGGGGCCCGGACCCGTCCCCCGCTGGCACCAGCCGGAAGCCGCTGCCTGGAGGCACAGGGCTGCTGACTCGCTCGGGGGGGTCCCCGGCCCCCTCACAAGGTCTCTGGCCCCCTGCGGTTGGGGGGTCAGGGGTTGGGGCGACCCCGGCGCTGCAGGCGGGACAGACTGCGTTAGCCC